TTTTACTGATCCAGGTCAAATGCCGTGACAAATGTTCACTGACTAATGAACAGAAAGCACTTTTGCCGCCGCAAATGTAATTCAAAACTTGCTCTTCAATTCTACCAGCAGGTTAGTGGTCAAAGTCACGGACAAGTGTTATTAGAGAGTCAGGCAAGTGTCTTTCACTGTTTGGCTGAAACTGCAGTTTGATTAGATATATTTGCAAAAATGTTAAACTTGAGAGTGGTCATCTTTTTGTCTGTGAAGGTTATAGGTTGTGACTGAACGTTGACATGTACTTGCACGAAGTGTTCTCTCCTTGTTTGGTGGCTCCATTTAAGCATACCTTTTGCACAGACTTGTTGATACTTTATCAATGACAGTAGGCTTTGTGAATAATTCTTTTTTTCCCCAAAATTTCATGGAATTCAATACATTCTGATTAAGTTTTACACTTAGATTTTGAATTTAAGCCTCCAGCTGAAAATGAAGCTCAGAAATGGGAGTGAAGAAACAAGCCCCAATATGATTGGGGAAGTTACTCTGTCAGCTGTAACGGATCTATTTTTTGTAGCCTTTCTTAATTGCTTGCTGGTACTGAAAGAGCCAGGTAGACTGTACCCCACAGAAAATAAATCCCCTGCTTAGAAACTAAGTCAGGGCTCAGATTCTGTTGATTTTTGTGGAAGTTTGAAAGAACTAGGAACACAGCAACTTGAGTAAAAAACTAGTGGAAGAGGTAAATGGACATTTCTGACTAATATGAAATTTCCTCTTTTTAAGTCTTCAAGTAAAGTGACTCATGACTCATGCCATTTGCAAGGAATTCTTTTTTTTTTTTTTTTTTAACAGCATCAAATAGAACTTCTGTTTCAATGAAATATTAGTTCATCTAAATCTTATTCACGTTTTTTAGATCTTCCACCACCACCCGACCCGCCCCCTGGTCAGGGTTTAAGGCAGCAAATAGGCCCTGGCCAACGTGGAGGCTCGGCAGAGAGGAAAGGAAGCTCTCTTGAGAGGCAGCAAACATCGAACGTAGATGAAACAAAGAGCTCCTTGGATCGTCAAGCTAGAACATCATTAGAGTGGCAGCGACAAACCCAGGAATGGATAAGCTCTACAGAACGGCCAGAAGATATAAGGAAAGCCCAACACAAACAAGCGTTCGGATCAGGTGTGTGTGCTGCACCAGTCAAGGCAATGTAGACAGCTTCTTGAAACTTTTCAGCTGGAGATTTATCTAACTCACAGGAGTCTAAGATCACCTTAAATACATATGTTCCAGTATTGTTGAGGCTTAGACTAGGAAACGGAAAGACACAAGTGAAATGAAAGCTTGTGATCCAAGTTCTTTCCCTCTTGCCACAATGAAATCTCATTAACACTTAACTCAGTACATTCTTTACAGTATTTTGGAAATTAATAATGCTGTCAAGTGTAGCAGTGGAAAAAAAAAACAAGAGCAGTTTCTGGCAGGCAAGGAAGGAGAAACAGATTTTTACATATTTTCTGTTGTTTTTATTTATACATATAGGGCCATATCTCTAGTTCTTTCAACCTGTATGTAAATTGGCAGTAGTTATTTTTGCATGTCTGCAAGTAGGCTGATCCTGCTGAGCTACTGACATTCCTTCTAGCTGTGTTTATAACACCATTTTCTTCTTTTGCAAAGATATGACAAAGTAATTCAGCTCTTAGGCCTAGGAGGATGACAGTACAGGCTTTCCCCTTTATACAAGACCTGCTCGTTGCTGAGTGCTGGCTTTGTCTTCTAAATGGTTTTCAAGTGGGTAAAAACATGTAAAGGAGGCAATGCTGAACTGGAGTTGTAGTCCTACAACATTTGCGGATTCCTTCTGTCAGCGTCACCTCAAGTAAAAGCTGCTGTTTCAGGTCCCCTTACTGGGGTATTTTCTTTAACCCACTAATCACACGCTATCCTATGCTGATTAAATAGAGTAACACAAGAGGACAATTACCCAAAGAAGATTAAAAAAAAAGATTACACAATGCGTAGAGCTATCTCCAGGGCTGCTTCTTCAAGTATGTATTTAGCTCACACAATGACACTAGAGGTACTCATATTATTCGTCATTTTCCTAATTTTATTCTAATACTAATTCTCCTAGTCAGCCTAACACACTAATATCAGTGGCATTCTAAGAAAAACAGTGGTATGGGCAAAGCTGTCACGGAGTCAGGATTTATGAATTAAAGTCCTCCAAGTAACTAGTGCTGCACATATTTAAAATGTAAATATTGTAAATATAATCCATATTTTTAAACATAATAAAAACTCCTACTTAGCCATTAAAAATTCCTAATCTTTCAGCTGTATAGACAAATAAATGGTTGTCATGTTGTTAAATGATGATGTTAAGTCACAGTTTAAAAACAGTGTTAAGTGTGTGAAATTCATGCTGCTTACCGTAATGGCAGTTTTAAGTGCAATGCAGATGTACAGACTTTTACAAAATAGCACAAACGTACTTTATCTATCACGTTTCTTTTTAAAGTAAGATGAAGGGTGCTTCTCTGACCTTGCAAACAAGAAATGCCCTGCTCTTCTTCCATGTTGTAGGTGTATCACATCAAAAGATGTAATAAATCATCAGTTATTATATCATATAGAGAGTATACAGTACTAAAATTCCCGTACTCCATGACTTGCATTTATTTGTCCCTGAATGAAACAGGACTTGATCTTGGCACTTCCGTTGCCCTACCTGAGCACTGAACTTAGGGCTGGAGTGATTGCACATATCTTGATCCTGTCAAATTCAGGATGGCCGAGGCAATTCCGTGTATGTTATGCATGACTGAGGATTGCTTTAGGAGATACCAGTTTTTAACCCTGGTTTGAAGGTATTCATAAAGTTTATGTTCAAGGTATGCCAGAGCCTCATATTTTGTATGTGTTTCTTGTCCCCACTTCTTTCACTACAGCTTTCTCGCTCTTTCTTTTCCTGGTAGATTTGAAAATGCTACTTTTGTGTGGGATGCTTGTATCTATGATTACATTTTGTTTTTAAGGGTATTAATTGTGCATATTCCCTTTTCTTTTATTATCAACAAAGAACTCTGGAGAACTGTTCTCTGGTTTAGACCATTTTCAGATATTTCAGGAGTCATCATTCTGGAAGCTATCAGCTTCCAGAAAATAACTACTTTGCAATTTAGGTGGCTTTGTTCAGACATCAACAAACTGTGAGTGAAATTTTTGAAAGTAAGACCTTTGATTTGAAGGTGAACAGAATAAAAAACATCTAATTCTGGAAACTGTTTCCACTCTCAGTATAGACAAGATTACCAAATTCCTGCTAACAGCTTCACTGCAGATCCACAGTCATAGCACATCAGATGTGACATTGTCAGCTACCCCTCTAAAAAAAGCAGTGCTAGATCAAGTTACAATATTCTTAGTAACATTAAAAGCCTTTTGCTTATCTTATAAGGTACAGAAGTGTCTTGCTACGCACATATACCCTGATTTTGCAGAGGCTGGATTTATAACTTTGAGTTAAAAGCTCAGTCCTTCAAAGAGAATGGCACTGGCAGAGCCTCCCCATATTCTTTGCGGGACTGGCCTACGAGGCATTATTTTGACACAAATAGCATAGGTTATTTAAAAAACATGAACCTGTTCTAAGGACTTTAGACACCTACCTTGCATGTGCTAGAACGATATGGAAAACCTAGCTCTGATTTTATGTCACAATTGGTTGTTTTTTGAATTGCATTTATTACTGAGGGCACATCAGATGATTTAACACACCATATGCTCTATAATGGTAATGCACTTTATATTTATTCATGGTCGTTTTTTCTCAATATTTCATTGAACCTGAAGGAGGCCTTATTCTGAGTCCACAAACTAGAAAAACAAATCAGTTGACCATATAAGTCATCTTCAAACTCTTTAGCAATGCTAGTTACTTTTCTTTCCATCTTCTAAAAATGTATCCAGCTTTCTGCTAAACTGATTTATGCTGCTTGCTTTATTGCTGCCTTAATGCAAGCTGTTCCATATTTCAGCCAGCCTTTGGAAACCAGGTTTGCATCTGATTCTATGGTTAGGGGTTGTTATATAAAGAGCAGGTAACATAATTTAGAAGGCTTTGACTGTTAAATGCCATTTGAATATGTCTTTTAAGCATTTGTTTACATTTCAGCAAGGACAGCACAGTCATAGCACGAAACACTGATAATGCCCTTATGTCCTGCCGTGCAAATATTCTGATTCCTTACCAGGGCCATAGGGAGATACTTTGGCAGAGAAAGAAGTCAGTTGTCTCCCCTCTTTCTAGTAGATTTACCTTACAAAAGGATTCTGTTCCGTAGGAGACCATAAGGGGAATTCTCATGTCCTACTCACTTGTAAGGTAGAAATTAACAAAGAAATCCTAGTTTTGCTCCATATAGTTGTTCTCATTTGGCTTTTCCCTAAGTTAATTGTGCCCCTGCCTCTGCTACAGCCATGGCAAAGGCTTTGAGGTTGTGAATAAAAACATTCTGTTCTTCTCTTTCTTTCCAGTCGTCACCACCTACTTTTCCTTCTGTGTTCCTGCCCTCTATCACAGAAAATATGTTTCTCCTCAGCAGATTGTTCATAAGACACTGGAAAACCAAATAAAAAGCACTTTCAGCCCAGATTTGCTTTAAAAATATAAGATTTAAGCAGGAGATATGCCACTGCTTTCAGAAGGAGTAATTCTTATGTTTAAGGTTAAGTGTGTGCTTATATTCTTTCTTGAATGAAGCTATATTTAGCAATGTTTCCTTCTTAAGACTGCAAGATAGCAAAAGTGGATCATATACAGCAAAAAAATAAAATAGTGTTTCTGTGTCAGTGTTAAATCAGTGCTGTTGTTTTACACCTTAGGTTAGGGATATTACAGCAATATCTCCTAGAAACTCCAATCGGATGTGATACCTTGCTTTACTTGATGCTGTATGAATATGTGCGGTCCTATGGCTGATTAGGTATTAATTCTGAGCTCACAAGCACTTCATTATTACAGGTCTTCACAAAGGAAGAGGCAAAGTGAGCAAGAGTAAGCCTTTTGCTCATAATGGAACATGAAACAAGCTGTAGGAAGATTTACTCACCGCAAATATTACAGCTACGAATATTATATACAATATAAGATTTTCCAGTGTAATTCACAACCAGTTAAAAAAAAAATCTTCAGTGTTCTTCACATCCATAGAAATTACTGAGCTGCTGGAAGCTAATTAAATTAGCTGATATTGTAGTTCTTTATCTAAATTAATTGAGGTAATGTTACCATAATTTAAGCTAAACAAAGGGGAAAAGCACATTCATGTAGGCTTCAAGCAAAAATCTAATCATAGCTGCATTGTTTTGGAAATGGTATTTGCATCTATTTTTATTAAACAGTCTATAACTCATGGTCTATTACTTCATAATGAATCTAGACTTTTTATAATTAATACAAACTAACTTACGAGTTTACATAAAAGCAAGATTAAATTCATACTGGTTTCTTTGTCTGTGGAATGTAGCAGAGATTTGGTTTTTTTCTTAGGTATACTTGCCATGATATAAAGCAAAACAAGGGAGACATATCTGAAGGCAAGGAATCAGTATGAGGTCCACATCAGGATAGCTTTTTTATTCCTATTGTATTGATTTTGTTCTGTTTTGTTTTTCTAGAAGAGGCACTGGTACCTTATAGTAAACCCAACTTCCCATCCCCTGGTGGCCACAGCTCTTCAGGAACAGCTTCTTCTAAAGGATCGACCGGACCTAGAAAAGGTGAAGTCTTGCGAGGAGGTCACCAACGCAATGCCAGTGACCTTCTTGATGTGGGCTATGTGGGATCAAACAGTCAAGGACAGTTTACTGGTGAATTATGTAAGTTTATCTCTAGCTACAGTTCAAACTCTCAATAGGCAAAAAGGGACAAATCATAGATTGAGTATGCAGGGAGTGAATTCCAGAGAGGATAAAGTTCAGTGTGATAATCTGAGTAAGTTTTATCCAGATCTTTTTGACTTCTGAGGTCTTTTTCCTGTGATAACAAACAAATCAAGTTCATCTGCTCTTGGGTCTGGACTAGTTCAGATCTGTGTAAGCCATGCCAGGACCATCTACATAGTACATCATTAAGTAAGTAAGGCTAATGAAAACAGAAACAGTAAGAAAATTGAAAAGAATCCTAATGACTTAGAATTTTCCTGGTAAAGTGTAATGTTCTTGGCTTGGAAATGCCATTGGTGATGGTCTCAGAGGAGTGAATAAAAAAAGGGTGCTGTGTCTGATGGTCACATCAGCAAGCTTATGACATCTTTTCCTAACTTACTGTTGCTCTTTCAGCTGTGTCCCTTCTTTTTGACCTCAGAGTGGGGGCCTCTTTCCCAGCTATATAGCCCAGTTTCTCAGTTACATATCCCAAAACTTTCCTCAAATTCCCCAGGTCAGAGGAACTAATTTCCAAACTGTTTTCCTTTGTCACTCAGTGTCCGCTAAACCTTGTATAAATCCCTGTTAATATTGCATACATGACATTAGTACTACATATCAAAATGTTTGACTCTACTTCTTGTAGTAGTACATCAACATCAAGGCTAGCTTAGGCATCCTGTTAGGTTTACTCTCCCCTCAACCTACTGGATATTCATGATGTGCTGGAATAATATTGCCATAGGCTTTGTTTTGTTTTTCTCTCCTTATTACAACCTATTTCTCTCTCTCTCTCTATTTCTCTCTATAGAGTAGTTGAGAAGACACATTGCAAGCTGCTCTGATGGACCATCAGGTCTGAACTCATGGAAGTGATGACACTAAACAGTGCAATGAACATTTTCTTTATTTATGTACTATTAAAAGAACTGTAAATGCAATGTAAAGACACACAGCCACACATATCCCACAGATACTTTACTTGTGTTCTTCTCTTTAATACACCATCCACCTTAAACTATTCCTTGTCAGGAGTATATAGAAAAGAAAGAAAAAAAATCACCCTTCAGGATGAAAAGAATTTCCTTCTGTATATAATTTCTTTTGTTGCATTGCTATGCAAGCTCACCTTCTTTTTAGCTATGTTCATATTCATGTCTGTTTTTATTGGTCTGTTGTACTATATGTGAATTAATAGGCTGTGGTGCCATATATTAACTTTTAATTGTGTAACTTTTATGTTTAAAGTTTGCACTGCAATTTTATTTGGTGATAAGCACAAAACTCTACTCCTCATGACATGAAGAAAAAAAGGAGACTGAATGTGTGAAGAACGTTTATGTACTGTAAGCCACTTTGGATAATGCTGGATGTAATGGAATATATTAGGTGGTTTTCCATTGGGGTGTAGAACTGAGAAAGTGACAGGCAACACTGATGTCAATGAAGACATCAGAGACAGACTTAAATCTTTTAAAAGCAAATTACATGATTGTTTTTCCTATTTAAGATGAAGTCAGAAGTTGGAAGTGTGGTTTAAAGAGTGAATATGAAAATTAAAGGTAGCGTAAGATGGACTTGACCCTTTCACTAGAATGATAAGCTTCTCCACCCTTAGTATCTGTTTTTAACCATGCAATGCCATTGAGTAAAGGGGAAGAAAAAAAAAACCTTGCTACAAACAAAATAAATTAAGGTGTTTCACTAAAGCTGTTTTTTATATTGCAGTTTTGACAGAATTACTGTAATTAATTAATTTCTGTAACCCAAAATATGAGACAAGAGTTCTCCCAGAAGAAGCAAACAACATAAACTCAAGGAATACCTAGTAAGTAGTGAAGGATGCAATTTGTTATTGAGACATGTTCAGGCTGCTTCCAGAAAAATGAAATATGTCAGAGTATCATATTTCATCTTTCCAATACATGTACAGTACAATAGAGGATAGAGCTGCACCACTGAAATTCATGACATTAATTGTTTTGATGAAGTCTTGACAAACCTTTGTGTTCTGTTACCTGAAGTCTGCAAGAGCTGAAGTTGAATCCACTAAATTTGTAGTAAAATGTTTAGTGTTTGAGAGGAAAACAATGGTCAAATTATTTTCAGTTTGCATTAAGTACATTTCTTGCAATGCAATACATCCAAAAAATTGGATGCAAGCAAAGAAAATTTTTGACCTGTTTTTTAGCGAGTGGTTTTAAACCCTACTATAATGAGGAAATAGCGCATGTTTATACAGTTTTTGAATAAACCGAACTCTGTAAGTGGACATTAATAACAGCATCCTGTCTCATCATTAGTTTTCATGATTTTGTCCAGATCTTCTGTACCTCCCAAATCCCAATGAGTAAATTGTCAAAGATTTTGTAGAATATATATGTGGATAGCCCACTCATTTGATACTTAATTTAAATATTGCAACCTGCAGCTTGTTTCTGTTAGTTATCAGACCACGAGCACAAGTTTTCATTTGAATACCCTTTTCATATAACCAGTCTATGTTGTTTTGTATATTGCCTTGGAGCTCACCAGTATTAAGAACACTTTTAGTAATGGCAGAGTCTTAGAAAAGTAAATTACAATGCTAAATATATGTTGCTTTTCATTTCATTAGCTTGTTCCATGATAAGATAAAACACTACAGCCGTCATCTATAACTCAGCACTATTGCATATCAAAAAATGCTAGTTAACTTCCTTAAGGTCAAGATTGTTATTTAGCAGGTGACAAACCCAAAAAGTCAAGAAAAGATGTATGAATTTGTTTATGTATGTGCTCAATGAATATATGTGCAATTTTCCTGCTTATTAAATCCTTATAGTTAAAACCATTACTTGAAAATGTGCAAAAATGTTCAAGCAAGATA